TGAAATTAGTATCTTTACACTTAAAATAAGATAATTAGATAATATGAACTTGAAATAAGACAATGCAATAGTAAATTGTCTTGTTCCATTGGCAAAGTGTTTCACTTTCATCCTCAATTGGAGAAAAAATGCATTTATTTTAAGAAAAAAATACTTACTTAGATTTCCATTTTTTGCAGTGTACAATATCTGATTACAAAATAAAAAGTAATTTACTCAGTTAAATCTTTAAATCTTTGGCATGTTGTTATTTCCATATCAAGTCAAAACAAACAAACAAACAACATAAATATGTTGCTTAGAAGTTAGTAAAGAATCGAAATAAATAGGGCCCCAAATGTCCTAAATCCGCCCCTGCTTTTACCTATAACCTTTAAGCTTCCAAACACATTTATCTTGTTTTACACTCACATTGCAAATGTTCTGTATCAATATTGCAACCTGTCAATCCATTAACGGTTATAAGGCCATTTGGCAGTGAGAACAATTATTTAGATTTTTGAAAAATACGTCCATCCATCAAGGAACTGCTGAACAAAGCAAAGATGGCCTTTATGCATAGGTTGCACTGCAAAAAATTTTAATCAAAATAAGTCATTTTCTCTTTAATTAAATAAATAAGTGCATTTTTACTTGAAGTGAGGAGGTAAGCGAGACACTTTGCCGATGGAACAAGACAATTTACATTTGAAATAATAAAAAAAAAAACAACTACATTGTCTTATTTCCAGTGCATATTATCTAATGATCTAATTTTAAGAGTAAAAATACTCATTCTGTTGGCAAATCATCTTATTAATCATCTTATTCTCACTGCTTTAATTAAGGGTAAATATACTTAATGTAAGACATTTTTCCTCATTACTAGATTGATTTTGCAGTCTGGTGTGAATTGGTACAACCACGTCTCAAGCACGGTAGGGAGAAGTGATGATCTGGCCTATTATGAAGCCACAAAACCATGTCCCCTTTAAATACTGTACATTAGACATATTCTACAATTAAATAGGACATCTCTCTTAATTTAAACGTAAAAATAAAAATGATAATAATCAAACAATCTGATTGGAGGAAACTTGTGAAGCAATTAGAGATCCTCCGTTCCTTCGGTCACACTCACCTCCCGGCAAAACCCGACACATCGTCATAGCTGTCGTACACCTCCAAGTAATCTGCCATGCATGATGGGTCGTCCTCCATGTCGAGCTCCAGGAAGTGGAGGAGAATCTTCTGACCCGCTCTGACTCGGATGTGCCAGTAGCAGATCTGCTCGTTCTCATACTCCTCGGGGAAACCTGGAGACTGAATGATCTTCTGCTGCTCCGTCAGAACACCACCACACTCCTTGGCTGTCAGGCAAACAGGAGACACGAAGAAAATCAACCAAGACTTTAAATTGACTTTGGTGCAAATAAGGATTAGTGCAGCAAAATGTTCATTATTTGCACTGCAAAAAGTCCTGAAAATGAGTAAAAAAAGCTTTAAAACAAGTCTATTTATACTTAATATGTGTATGGAAATAAAATGATCTGTCAATGGAATTAGCATTTTTTCCCCTTATAATAAGATAATTAGATATTATGCACTTGAAATAAGAAATTACAGTTGTTTATTTCTTGTTTTAAATATAAATTGTCTTATTCCATTGGCAAAGGGTCTGACTTGCTCAATTTAAGACCAAAATGAGCTTGTTTTAAGAAAAACTGGCACACTTAGATTTACATTTTTTGCAGCTTTGGTTTATGGACAAGATTTGTTGGGAAGAAAATCCTGTGTGAATTCCAACAGCAGGAGGAATATAGGTCCAGGTGGCTGCATGAACTAACCTCTAAAATTCTGAGAGAAAAGTCAGAATTCTGAGATTAAAGTCTGAATTTTGAGAAAAAAGTAAAAATTCTGAGGTTAAAGTCCAAATTTTGAGAAAAAAGTCAAAATTCGGAGATTAAAGTCTGAATTTTGAGAAAAAAGTCAAAATCTTGAGATTAAAGTCTGAATTTTGAGAAAAAAGTCAGAATTCTGATATTAAAGTTAGAATTTTGAGAAAAAAAGTCAGAATTCTGAGATTAAAGTCAGAATTTTGAAAAAAAGTCAAAATCCGGAGATCAAAGTCAGAATTTCGAGAAAAAAGTCAAAATTTTGAGATTAAAGTCAGAATTTTGAGAGAAAAGTCAGAATTCTGAGAAAAAAAGTCAGGTTTTGACTTTTTTCCCCATATAAAACTGAAATAAAATAAAAAAATAAATTTACTTTTTTTTTTTTCACTGGCCTTAATCCTCTTCAGTAGAATCTAGTGTTACCTCTAAAGTAAGAAAATAAGACACATGAAATACTGTATTTCAGTATAGATTTATGAACAATGGAATAAAAGCTTGTTGGACTTTAAAGCAAAGTTGTTTCGCTGAAGTTGAAATGTAAGCGAGGAATGGGATTTAGCATTCGTTCCTAGATAGAACAACCTCTAAGCTTCTGAGGTCTAATGGCTTGGATGACTTCCTCTTTTTCTTTATGGAGCCTTTAAACGTGTCTTCCAGTCAGTAGTTGCTCAGCTGCCACTCCACCATCTTATCCTCAGTCGCCTTTTTTCCTCCCTCCTGGTTTATTCTTAGTCTGACCTCGATAACTCACAGGGTGGGACTGAGATTGTGGTTTTTGAGTCAGGGTTCTCTCCTCTTCAGTCATCACTGAGGTTCTCTTTATCATGGCTTTAGGTCTGACTGGAGTCTGGAGCCGGGACATCTTCCCTGAAGGAATCTGGTGGGACTCAGACTCTATGTTTAGGACCTACGGGTTTCCACCACTGAGACGGACTCTTTTAAGTTGCTGTAGTAAAATTATTAACAGAACAAACATCCTAAATCTTTTTAAATGAGATTGAGACTAAAATGTGCCCCATATGTTGATGTGGGAGTTGGTTTAGAGGCAGACATAGTTTCTCTCTTTCCTGGAGCTAAATATTTACTGCCTCCACATGTCCCCAACATGCAGGATCCCTCTGAAACAGCTTGAGAGAGACGTGTGTGTTTTAGTTTAGCGGGATGAGCTCAAACAAACCGTCGTGTCTTTATTTCTGCCGTGCACCAACAGCTAAAACATGATGCAGACGCTAATGAAACCATGTTTTACTCAGGGAGCAGGAAATCTGTTTTACGAGCGCATTACAGGAACATCTCTGCAGACTTTTACTGCACTATTGTCAGTCTGAGCTTTTTCATATTTGTCACATTACAAAAAAAAGGTCAAGATGTTTTATTGAGGTTTTTCTCCAACAGAAAAAGCCAACGTAACACATAATTATGAAGTGGAAAGAAAAGATGCATGCTTATACATTTGTTTCTTGACAAAATCAATCTAATAATCTTTAGTTTGCATTTTTATCTTGACCTCCAGAGACAAACCTTGAAAGAATTCAAAATAAAATGTCCCAGCAATAACAGCTGCAGCTCTTTTGTTATTAAATGTTTTGCACTCTTATACGAAGGGGCTTCCGCTCAGCCAGATGGGATAGAAAGCGTTTGAAACCTCAGCTTTATATTCCTATGAGAGTCTCAGTTGGAGATAATGATGAACTTTGACTGAGACATTTTAAAAAAATGAACATGCTTTTATCTGAATTATTTATCTGGTTTTTTGTGAGAGATAACAGTAGATATAGTGAAACGAATCACCAAAAGAACCATCAAACTATTAGTTTAAAAGCTGACATCAACATCTTTGTTTATAGATGTTAGAGATGTTTTTTCCAGTGTAGTCCTGTTTCTCTGACTGTGACTAACTGGATGTGCTCTCTTCATCCTCTGACATGGGA